CACTCACGGAAAGTCTTCAAAAACCATCCCAAAACAACTTCCCTTGTCATCATATCTTCTCTTCACTCTCAAAAGCAAAAATAGCAAATTTTATCTCTCCCAAGGAAGAACATACTATCAATAATCTTCTCAATTTGCATCAACTAAGTTATTGCCTTCAATTGATCCTCATGTTCCAGAAAAGAGGGGCAGCCTCATATCTTGGAACAAATTCAATTATTTATCAATTATTTATCAATTATATCTTTCCCACTTCCACTAGCTTGTGATTGAGAATTTTGAATTTATGTTTACTATTTCCATTATATGGGTAAAAGCGTTCATAGTGGCACTAATACAGCAGAGTTACTATTTACTTCTTATCCCTCCTAATTTGCAGATCATTTGTCCTAGCTTTCATGTCATTCCCATCTGTGTTGTCTTGACCAAAGTATATAGGCTTGAGATACGAAAGTCTTGAAAATTTAAGGGAAGTTTATCATACTTCATATATCTAACAAATCTTCTAATTATATAATGCCACAATGCATTGATAATTCTAGTAACTCTTTTATCATGAGTATTATTTTTTAATTTACATTTTCTTCAATACCTCTTTTGTCATGACACAGGCCAAGAGCTTTGAATGTCAAAGCAGGAACAGACAATCATATGGTAGTTTAATTCGTTGGTATAAACATTATAAATTTTTCACTATTAATGTTTTTTCCAAATCAAAAAGCCACTAAACAATACAAAAATGTTCGTATTCAAATTATAATATAAATGATTTCTATCATATTCATTTATAAAAAATACAGTTAAAATAAGTTACAAACTAATACATATAATTATGATAATATCTATATTCTCGACAGCACTTATTCTGCTATATACAAATTCCTTTTTTTCACCAATCTAACTCAAATGAGTATTTCCTTAAAAAGGAATATCACATAATAGGATGAGTCATACAACGTAGTGGTTAATTGTAATTTTATTCTAAAACAATTTTAAGCATAGAGATAAATTTTGGATACATGTCACCACAAATAAGTATAAACATTTCATTGTGATAAGAACTTTAAACATGAACATTTGTTATCTATTAAAAATAGATTAGAACATTTATTATTTGTTAACCTGATATTTGAAAATAAAGTTTATCATAAAATATCATATCTTATTTTTTAATTGAATATGCTCATTATTGGAGCATCATCTATATTGTACCACTTAATGTGCTTTCATTTTCATATATTTTCTAAACTTGCTAATAGGAAACTGTTTTTTATTTAGGTACATTAGCATCCCTAATTAGTACTATAAGGAGGTGAACTACATTCAGCATATGCATGCATTTCTTTATCATATATTCATGTTTATATTATCTTACATATGCTCTTAAGAATGGCAGTTCATGATATTGAAATTAGATGAAATTTTCTCAAACATTTATAGCAATATGAAGATATTTAGACAAGTTAAGAGATTGTTCATTTAATCATTTTTTTCTGGAAAAGATGTGTTAATAAAATCATCAATTGTGTATATAAAAGAGATGGGGACATCAGCTCGTGGAAGGTTTATCAGAGGCGTGGCCGCCGATCTACGGCCACGATCGAGTCTTTGTATTTCTAAGTCATTTCTGTTATTTTTTTATTTATGTATTTTCTATTTGCTTTGTGTCATGTTTGTTCTTCCGTTTGTACCCTTTTAGTGGGAAGTGTCATGTGTGAGCCGAAAGGGCAATTTGGTCTTTTATTTCTTTGAGTCTATTGTACTTGGCTATATATAGCCCTTTGCTTATTATTTCATGGTTAATGAATGATTATGAGAATTTTTCTTACTATTGTTTTCTTAGAGCTTATGCGAGAGCTTGAGAGAAAGAGCTAGAGATCTTGGTGGAGCCTAGGAGAGGCCACCCGTCGTACCCAACAGTCACCACCGGTGGCTCTTAGTCCTCCTCTCTTCCCTCACCACCACCTTCGGCCACCTTTACTCCCCTCACCCGAACCCCTTCCTCCTCCCCCAATCCCCACGGCCAAAGCCCCACCCGAGCCCCTTCCTCCCCTCCCAAACCCACGGCTAGAACCCTCACTTAAGCATTGCCGCCGGCTACACACCCCTAGCCGCCGGCTACACACCCCTAGCCGCCGGCTTGTTCATCCCTAACCCCTCTCATCTTGTGTTTCCTAATTGGGCCTTAGATAAAATGGGATAGATTTTGAAATTCAAAAAAATCTGAATTGATTTCAAAAACTTTCCTAATTTAACTTTTTTATTTTAGGAAAGTATTTATTTAGATCTATTTGAAAATTAAAATTCAAAAGGATCTTAAATAAATATTTCCTAAACTCAATCCCCAATTCTAGGAACAATAATACACTACATTAATTTCCCCTTAATCCATGCATGCCGCTGGCCCCCATAGAGAGAATTTGGGGATTGGTTTCCTAATTCCCCTCTAAACCTCCTTAGAAATATTTTCTAATTTTCCCCTCCATCTCCTTAGCCGAAATTTCTCTCTCTTTGTTTAAAATTGTTTCCAAAGTGACCCCTTGACTTTTTGAAACAAAATTAAACCCTTTCCCTCCATCTTGCCGCCGGCCCCCCTTCCCCATACTCGCCCCTCTTCTTCTCCAATTCTCTCCTCTCTCAATAGCTCTCTAACTTTCAAACTAAATTTGAAATTTTATTTCAGATTTCCCTTTTTTGGCTCTTCCTCCCTTCAATTGCAAGAGAAATTTCTTTCTCTTCACTTGAACTCGAGAGCCCTACCAAGTGTTAAGAAGCTGCTATCTTCACTCATCCATGAATGGCGGATCCGGCAACTGATTACGGCATAACTTGGGCCGAAGACGGCTTCGTCGACATCCTACAATCTACTTTCTTCGACGTGAATCCAAGGGTTGATCTCACCATCGAGGATTACTTGGAGTTTACGTTGATCTATTTGGTAGAGGCTATTGACGAACACTTCGAAGGCATTGAGTGGAGGATCTCCACTACCCCTTGACGAAGGTTTCTCTCCCTACTTGCATCTTATTCCTTTTAGTCTAACTCCTCTTGATTTGATTGCAGTCACGACGGACTCCTTCGCATTGCTCTTGCTTAAGATTAGTAAACGTAGGATTTGAGTGCACCTCTATGTTTAGTAATTCTTATTGTTAGACTGGGGATTATTTTGAAATTAAAGCTACTACTATTCATTGTGTTGTTTTCTATTTCTTTTGGAAGTTTTCAAAGCGCTTATCATGTGATTTAGCCTAAGTGGATAACCACTAATTGTTTTGACGCATTGTTTGAATTCGCTAGTAGTTTTGTTCTAGAATTATTCTAATCATAAGTTGAGCAAGTTCATATGAGTTTAAAAAAAATATATATTTCATTTTCGTAGTCCTGCATCAAAAAGGATATATCATTCAATGTTCAAACTTAGGAGAATGACTGTAATTACTATAAGATGGGATATAAGCACCTAATTTAATTTTTAGAAGATCAAGTCTTCAACTAGACTTTAATGTTTGCTTATCTTTTTTTAACTCTTCCATTCATAACCTATGTGTCATGTATACTATACAATAATGTATAAAACACTCATATTAATTTATTTGCTTACATTCTTCTTAAATCTAAAAGTTGTAAAATAAAACAATAACCCTAGAATATTTAGCATGCTAAACATCTTAAATATCACTTACCTTTTCTTTATTGCAAGTTGTAAAATCATTTCTTTTACTCTCCTTCAAACCAAATAATCCTAAAAATATATAACACTTCTTTGATGAATAGAAATTTGTTCTAGATTTATATGTTTGAACAAATAAGAATCTAGATTAAATTTGACCGTTTAAATTTAAATTAAAAGAAAAAAGAGAAATTCTAGTTTTTGATATTGAATCACCCATCTCTTTTCTCATTCTCAATTCGACTATGCTATTCAATTGATCCATCCACCCCTGGCATAGTTGTGTGAAAACCTATTTTGCTTGCTCTTTGATAGTCTTGTTTGCTCACTTGCCTCGGCCTTTACTTACCTGGTCACTCATGTGAACACTCACTCTACATGATCACTCAATCTTGTGCTTGACTTATCTCACACTCGCTTGATCTCTCCGGTCTCTCCTTCGGCCACTTTTTTTTTTCTTTCTTTCAACCACTTTGTTTATCCCTCAGTTTTCCTATATCGACCTTTTGCCCTTGCTCTCTCCATTCCTTTGTAATGAGCAAAACTAACTCGTCAGTTCAATTGATCTGATACTGCCGATTATTATTATTATTATTATTAAGCAGCTTTTGCTAGTTATTAGACCATTTGGTTTAGCAAGTTGGAAGTTCTTGGAATTTGGTGGTTTCGTGGAATCAATGTTAGTCATATAACTTTATGAGCACTTTTTCAAGTATTTATGTCCCCATATTCATGTTTGGCTTAGTGAGTCCCTTTGTAGCTACTATGTAGTTAAATGAAGAGGAGTTCGTGAATGCCAGCCCCTAAGGCAAAGAAATACGGGGTAAATCTTCTGCTGCACATCATGGTTTGTATCTTTGCTATCATATGATCTTATATACTTCATCTGTAACTGAAGAGGATATTGAATTTGACAAACTAGAGCTGGAGCTGTTACGGAGTAATGAAGATCTAAATTGATCTCTTCAAAATATCATTGCAGATGTACCGTGTTGTCTTTAAATTAATTTAAACAAATAAAAAACAAAAATGGGCTAGACATCATTATAAAGAGTATCTTAAGTCAAAATTTCTCAAGATTTACTGGTCAAAGATACTAAATAACCTAGTATTGATGCAAAATGATAATTTTTGTTGGATGCTCAAATCTTTTTGAATGCTTCCATATGATTTATTTTATAGAAATTATGACTACTTAAATTGGAGTGCAAATTTACAGATGAAACCAAATTTAGTTTGATTTTGGATTGTCTTATTGAGATTTATTTTGAAATCTAAGTATATTTTGATGGTTATAATTGTAAGAGTCCTTATATTCTTCATCTTTCAGAGACGATGTCAGTTTCCAGGAGTTCTGCTTGCAAGTAATTTTTGAATGTATCAGCAATGATAGGCCAGCTCTTCTGCGGGTATGAAACAAGCGTGAGAAGATTCCTTATATGTATTCTCTGAGCAAAATATTGAAATAGCCAACCTTACATGATATGCAGATTTACCTCTCACTGTACACAACAGTTGCATCGATGTGGGAGCAGGTGAAAAGTGGCTGCGTTGTTTTTCATGACTTATCTTTTCTACACAGTTTGAAGGTAGGAATTTTATTTTTCATTCTTACCCATACTAACAGAATAAATAAGATAAGCTAATCCTAAACACGTCAGTGGAATCATCTCATTAATAATATATTGTAACTTGCATGAGCGCAACCAAATCATGCAACTTGTATATGGAAAGCATACCTGAAAAGTGACAATCTCCTAGCTGATTTTATTATTTCTTTATTTAAGTTTCGAAATCATTCTGTTATTTGTATTACGTGGGTTCAAGATTTGTACATATATAAGATCAGCATAGGATCAGTTATAATAGATATATGAAGGGTACAAAGTCAATTATGGATATTAAATCTATGTTGGATAATGGAGAAATGTTTCAACTCCATTCGCTAAGATTGCTGTTTCAGACTTACAGGATAGAAATCAAAGAGTATACCCCTTAGGCCCCTTTGTTTATTTCTTCTGCTATTTTGTTATCCTTTAAAGGCTTTTGGTTATCATTGATTTTTTCAATGATTCTTTGCTCCCCTCGATGTTAACGCTATCAATAGCTTTAACCATCTGAAATGTCTTGTGGAAAGGGTGATAAAATTGCTAAGCCATCTAGAATAATACATTTTCTCTTCATGCTGCAGCTTGCATTAGCCTATAATGAAGCTTCGAACAGTGGAAGACTGTCTAGTCCACGAGGAGGCATAATACAGTCTACTTTTTTGGAATCAATCAAGAAGCATGTAGAAGAAATTCTTAAAAGTTCCTTAGGGTTGAAAGATTGTTTGATCAACTATATAAACTTGGATAATTGGACTCATAACCTGTCTGGGTTTCCTCAACGGGAAGCCATTCTATTTTGTTGGTATCTTCAATGGTATTCTGTACCACCACCTCATGTAGTCAAGGAAGCAGTGCAGAAGATCAAGGCAAAGGTTCCAACCTCCTCATCCATGGTTCCTCTGCTTCGATTATTGTTGCCTGATACTCATATCAGAGCAATTTCTGAAATTGATGAGCTCCTGCTATCAAGTGGCTGAAAATAAATCGACCGTGAGTGGTGCAGGGACAGAATTTTGAATCACCGTGATCTGCATTTGGTCTGTCTGGACAGCTGAACGTTGCTGCTTCTAATCTTGACTATCACTGAATCGTGGCTATTGGAACGTTTGACATTATATAGGGTGCAAGAACATGCGGCAATGAAGAAAATATATTTCTTTCCATTTGCTTGGTCATCATAATCAACCATTATAGCCACGTCTTGGTTTACTCGGTTTCATGTTATTGAGCCGCTGAACTAGGGTTTTTTTTTTTTTTTTTAGTACTATTAGGCATTGATCAGTAGATCAACCATTATAGCATCTTTGTTTCTTGTTATACCAGAGTTTATGTTACCTGTTAGTGGTAAAGCTTTACAGCGATGCTCTCGACTTTTTAATAATCATTTTGAGGTTAGTACTATTATATTTTTTATTAATTTAATTTCAATATTATTCTGATCCTTTTTTTGTTGTTCTCATTATCTTATATTGTTTTGCTTCATTTGATATGCTTTGTTGTGTTTTTATATGATCAATGTGTTCATATTTGTAGATAGGTATTAGTTATATTTTTTTTGGGTAGAAACCATTTTTTATTAATAAGAAAATAAATAAATATGGAAAATAAAAAGCTTGAAAGGGAAAGACTACCACTTCCCAAAGATAAAAAATAAAAGGGGAAGGGTTAGCAGCTTGAGAAGTATTTCATACCAAGCAGTAGAAAAGGTACAAACAAAATGAAACAAAAAGGAAGAGCCCCTCAAGTGAGGATGACTCATTCATTGGTTTGTATTATGCAACAATACCTAATACAAACAAATGAAAAGAGGTCGTTCATTAAGCATTTGAGGGGACTAGGTTCCCTGCCCGTGGAATCTGTAGAAGTCTTCTTCCTCTTCCTAGGGCAAGTGGCTAAAGGCCCAAGTTAGATGAGCTCTTTGTACAAGCGAGACTTGGACACTCTTGATTGTTGCTTGTGAAAGGTCATGATCCTATTAGAAGTTTCTTCCATTTGTTGTAACTTCTCGACTGAGAATTGCATAGGAGGCTCGGCTTGTTGACGAGTGCCTTGGTCTTTATTAGTCTTCGGTTTGTCTTTCCTTCTCCAGGTGACAAGGTTTCAAGCTCCAAGGGAGGATTCATCCTTGTCCTCACAAACAAGGGGCTCCTCAACAGCTTTATGCTTCATCTCAAGAGGAGCGGATGGTTGGGGGAAGTTCATGGGTGTGGCATGCACCTTGGCTGGCGATGGCGGCTACTTTGGGGGAGATTGAGTGCCACGAGTTGGAGACTTGGATAGGCAAGCCCCATTGGCATGGCCAATGAAACCACAATCGAAGCAAAAGTTTGTAAGCCCTTTATATTTGACTCTTTGAAAAAATCATCCATGGAGCCCATTGATCCAACCCCCTTATTGAAGCTTTTGATAGAGATCAATTCTAACACAATTTATTGCATAGGAAGATCTTCCTCAAGTATTCGTGTGTGAGTTCATCCACAAAAGGTTTCCCAAGCATATTGGCAAGCCGAGTGATTTTGTTCGTATCTCAATACATAAGAGGGAGATGTGGAAGGCATATCCAAATAGGGGAGTGAAGTCCAAGAAGAGAGCATGGAAAGGGGGTGGGAGACCACTTTTCTATTCCGATGATGTTCCCTTCTATGATCCACGGCCCACTCATGAGCATTGCATCCCTTGCCTCAATGCTTTGGAAAATACATATCAACAAGTTTGGAGCTGTAGTAATGATGTGAAATTCTCCAAAGTGATACCACCTATGCTTGAGCTCACCAAGAATGAAGGGAAATGAGACCCTCCATACCATGGGTTTAGCCGCTAAGGCCCAATCCAATTTGGCAATGTAATCGTGGACAGCTGCCACTTCCAATTTCATGGACATCCCATCCTTATAGCTAAGAATATTTCACTTGGCATTTTATCCCGCTTGACGAATTGGCTTAAAGGTATTAGTTATATTGCTCAATGCACATATGAAGTTAGGGGTGGAATGGATAAAATTATTTGATGGCTTAATGTATTTGATCTTATAGAAAGGGCTAAGGAATTCCCTTTATGTTTGATTTTCAAAGCAAATGATTTGCAATTTTTTGGTGAAATAATTCATAACTACTGTTGATGATTAACAATGAGGGGAATGAAGGATATTTCCCTTATGTTCAATATTAGGGAAAGTAACACAAATTTTGAATTTATTAAATTCGCACTAATCATTAGGTTAGGATTTGAAAATTTTTCATGAGAAGAGAAACTTAAAAAATAAGTAGGAATATTATTCTTATTGATGCCTATTTAAATGGATATAAGAACTTTAGGAATGTAGACTTGGAGAAAATATTCATGTTGTGTTTGAATGAGAAGAAGCATGGAAGTTAGTTTATGTTTTCTTGTATATGGTGTTTTATTCAATATATTCAACCATGATAAGCACAATATAGCTTTTCGTTGGTTAGGATAAACTAGAGATAAGAATAAACTTCTTATTTTCTTCGGTTGATGTAGATTTCATATATTATCTAAAGAATTGGAATAAAGTTTATTAGATAATATATGATATCTCATTGCTCATAAAAAGCATGACATTGTATGATTGTAACCATTTGTAGCATAGACCTTACAAGCAATGAAGAATTTATTTTGCAAATGCTTCTTTGGATTACTTAGGTTGTTAGGGTTATTTAATTGCAACCAGGAACCCTTTCCATCCAAATGTCCTTGAAAGTAAAGGAGAATAAGAATTGATGATGCTTCTAAGATTGTCATGTGGTAAGCCATTTGAAATTTAAATAAAAAATTTATTCAGTAATTGCACTAATGGAAAGATGGGTACTTCATGTGTTATTTGACTCGGAGATTGTAGATTATATGCAATACAACACTTCATCTATTTGATTTAAAGAAAGTTCTTCTGAAAATTATACATGATCATGTATAATTCTATAGAAATATGCTATGTAGATTTATTTTACAAAAATTAATATACATAGATAGAAGAAAAGATGTTTCTATTCATTTAGTTTCGAAAATGAAGTACATTTAATTCATTTCATCTACTTATTTATTCTAAAGTGTTACACATTAAAATATGTTGTATTATAGTTCATTTTTTCTAGTAATTTCCATTGTGATTATTATATCAAAATTAAGTTATACTTTGTGATTGCTAATTTTATTGTACTCTATTATATTAATTTTCAATTGTGTTGTGCTATAAATTATTCAAATCTTGTTCGAACAATGCTTAAAAATTGCTCGAATTTTGCTCGAACCATGCTCAAATCTTGCAAAAATCATAATTAAACCTTGCTCGAACAATGCTCGACCCTTGTTCAAACTATGCATAAATTTTGTTGATTATGCTCGACCCTTTTTTGAAACTCGTTCGGTTGTATTTGGAGATCTCTTGAAATTTGTTTGAACTAGGCTTGAACCATATTCAAATGATGGTTCAAACTAAAGTTTGAATTTTAATTATTTTAAACCTAAAAGCACTCAATAAGTGGCTTTCAAATGTTGGAGAGGGCATTTTTATCTCAAGTTAATTTTCAGCATATGTCTCTAAATATTAGAATGGTTGACATAACTGACCAATCACACACATTTTGAGGCATATAAAGTTAATTTTTTTGTTTTATAATTTATTGTGAAACTCTTACAATTTATTTTAATTCTATGTATAATATCATATGATAGGATAGAAAGTAATTATGCACATTGAAATATAAATATTCCACTAGTGCAAGCATATATAATCGTAGGTGATAGCATATAAGAAGTGTTAAAAGTTTCTTTAGGAGTAGTAAGAAAGCCGTCCCAAATGAAGCCTAAGTTCTAATTTAGTCTAGCTCAGCTTGAAGGGCAATTATCGGAAATGACGCCGTAAACGTTACGTCGCATCATTCCGCCGGAACCTGCGCCGACAATGCCGGCGCAAAAAAATCCGCCGGAAATTCCGACGGTAATCACGTGTTTTCCCGTAGTGAGATTCGAAGCTTTAATATCATTTATCTCTATTTTGGGTGCATTATATTGTATGAAAGCATATGCCACGTTCTACTATTCTGAACATGCAAAAAATATATATTTATTCTAATTTTCCTAAAGTATAAAGGTGCATTATTTAATAATGGTGGCTTCTAAGTGGATTGGCCTTTAGGCAAAGAATTGCTAGCAAAGTCTTATTCCATAAGTGATATACTCTTAGTTGACTAAACAACAACAATAATATCATACCTTTGTCCCACTATGTGGGGTTGGCTACATGAATTTGTTTTCACCATTGTATCATGTTAAAAGTCAAATTCTCATTTAAATCTAGTAAAGAAAGACCATTTTTAATATTTTCTAACCAAGTCTTTTTAGGTCTACCTCTACCTTTCTTAATATAAGTCCAATCTAATATCTCAACTTTCCTAACTAGGTCATCAGAAGGCCTCTGTTTAATGTGGCCAAACCATCTAAAGTGACTCTCTCTAATCTTATCTTCCACTGGAGCTACTCCAACCTTTTCACTTATATGCTCGTTTCGCATCCTATCTCTAAGGGAAAAATCACTCATCCACCTAAGCATCCTCATCTCTGCAACACGTAACTAGTATTATGCTTCTCTTTTAATGGCCAACATTTGGTACCATATAGCATTGCAGGTCTCACCACCATCTTATAGAATTTACCCTTAAGTTTGAGGGGGACTTTTCTATCATACAAAAAGCCTGATGTATTCCTCCACTTCAACCATCCAACTTGAATTATGCTGATAATATCCCCATCTATTACATCATCACTCTAAATAATAGATCTATGGTATCTAAAACGTGTACTCTTATTAATGACTTAATTTCCCAAAGTCACAATCCTCTCACTATATATATTGCTACTAAAATTACACATCATATATTCAGTTTTAGATCTACTCAAGAAAACCCTTTAGACTCTAAGGTTGACCTCCATAATTCAAGTTTACCTTCAACTCCCTCTCTAGTCATATCAACAAGAAGAATATCATCAGCAAAAGTATACACCAAGGTACATCCTCTTGCAAATGTCTAGTGAGAACATCCATGACTAAAGCAAAAAGATATGGACTTAAGGAAGATCCTTGATGTAATCCAACCAAAATAGGAAATAACTTAGTCAAACCACCTTGTGTTTGAACACAATTAATAGCTCATGCATACATATCTTTAATGATTTGAATATAAGCGTTATTAACTCCTTTCTTTTCAAGAACTCTCCATAACACTTCTCTTGGAACTTTATCATATGGTTTCTCTAAGTCAATAAATATCATATGTATATCTTCTTTATTCTCTCTATATTTCTCCATCAAACATCTCAATAAATGTATAGCTTCCATAGTAGATCTACCCGGCATGAATCCAATATGATTTTGAGAAACATTAGTATCATGCCGCAACCTACGCTCCATAACTTGCTCCTATAG